TGGGAGACAAACACCAGTGTTCCTGCTTTGCAGTCTGTGCTAGTTTAATTCCTGCCTCCATGACTGTCCCTTTCTTGTGCCATCCACTTCTCTAACTTTGGGTCCCATTGCTCTTGCCATTGAGGGAAGAGGCTCTGAGGAAAAGGGGAAGGACAAGCGGGGGGCGGGGACTGAGGAGGGGAGCAGCAGAGTCTGTTCCTCCATATCCAGACATACATCCACCTGTCATACACCTACACTTAGCAGCACCTGTATTTGCATACCTTGGGCAAACACTCCATGTTTAACTATATGGACAGGATCAGGAGCCCTTGCAGGTACCCGTATACATGTGGCCACATCCCTGCAAAACTCAGGGGGGCAGAAACTCTGTCTGCATGTATAGCTGGGACCCAGTCTTGTTCAGTGAGTAAGTGTGCACATGCACAGTCTGGCCTTCAGTGCTCTGTCCATGACAGGCATCGCGGTGTGTGTGGTCATTTTTGTGACTTGCATTGATCTCTGTCTGCATGTGCACAAACAGCCTCATGCAGCCTTGGTCTCCCTCCCCTCATACAGAGCCTGGCCTCAGGGAGCACCTGGTTTGGGATGGAGGAGGCTGCTGGAGGAGAGAATTTTCTGTTCCTTCTGACTGCTTTCTCTGGCTAGGGGTCATGGGAAGGAGAACGGTCATTCTGCCCTTCTTTTTATTTACTTATTTTTTTAAAAAAGATTTTATTTATTTATTTGACAGAGAGAGCGCACAAGCAGGGGGAGTGGCAGGCAGAGGGAGAGGGGGAAGCAGGCTCCCCTGCTGAGCAAGGAGCCCGATGTGGGGCTCCATCCCAGGACCCTGGGATCATGACCTGAGCCAGAGACAGATGCTTAACTGACTGAGCCATCCAGGCACCCCCCCTTTTTTAAAGGCTTCTTTTTAGTTTTAATTTATCAATTTGTAGGTTTTTTTTTTAAGTCAAGCTTGAGGTATAAGTAACATTACGTCTGCATTTATTTACATTTTGACAAATATAAACATTGGTCATGTAACCACTACGATATAGAGTAGTCCCATCGCCCCAAAGAAGTACCCTCCAGAGAGAGGGACACAGGTGAAGAGGGAACCACGTACAGGCCTGGGAAACATGGAGCAGGAGGTGGGCATGGCTCCCATTGTCTGTCTGTCTCGTGTCAGTGTGTCTGTTGAGTTAGGACGACTCTGCTCCTCACTCTGGGAGGGGGCTGGGACTAAGAAATGGGCAGCGAGGCAGGGTGGAGCCCAGAGCAGCATCAGAGACTGTTTCTAATTAAAACATTGATTTTTGTTACCAGGTCTTTTTTACATTAATTTTTATTTTTCAAGATACTGCATTAAAGGAGCACCTTGGTCGTGTAGTCGGTTAAGCGTCCGACTCTTGTTTTCGGCTCAGGTCCTGATCTCAGGGTCGTGAGATTGAGCCCAGAGCAGGGCTCTGTGCTGATGGTGGAGTTGGCTTAAGGTTCTCTCTCTCTGCCCCTCCCCTCCTCAAATGTATATTGCATTAAAATACTGTTTATCTTGCTTGCTGAGTTTTTGGTGCCTCCTTAGATTTTTGCCCCCAAGGCGAGTGCCTCACTTGCCTCTCCCTCGTTGGTCCTGCTCTGGGAACAGAGACTTGCCTGGGGTAGAATGTGTGCTGTTCATTCCCTCCACATTCTGCCCTTTTCCTCTTCTTCCACTTGCCCCATCTGTGACCTCTTGGCCCCTCCCTGGTACCTGAAGGGGGACCCAGGGAGGAAGGGCTGTTTTACTACCCATCGCTAAGACAGGGACGAGGTTCTCCCGATGCCCACCCTCTCCCCCAGTCTGGGCTGTGGGCCATCACTCTTCTGCCCATTTCAGGTCTCCACTCATTTATCCCACATGCACTGAGGCCCACTTGACCTTGATGAGGTCAGGGCTGGAGGGTGAGAGGGGCTGGGGTCGTGGGCCCAGAAAGTAGCCAGGAATCTTTGCACCAGTGCCCGGTGGCCACACTGCGGCTTGGGGAGGAGGGGTCTGCTCAGGAATACGGAGACAGTGAGCCCTTCTGTGGGGCCCAAAGAGCTAGCGTGCTGGCGTTCCCCCACCCCAGGTGGCATGGCACATCATTCACTGGGTCCCTTGTGGCCTATGCTGGCTTTTTAAATTTTTGAATCGGTTGCCAAGGTTTAAAAATCCAGAATTCACAGAGAAATCCAGCATCCTGGTTTCATCAGCAAACAAATAACGCGGGAGTTCTGGCAATGTTGGTGTGTCCTGCATGGTAACCCCCAGCCAAGCAGCGGCTTCCTGTAGGGCAGCACCTGTCCCCCACAGGCTTCCTCATTACCCCTCTTTGAGTTCTAGAGCTGTGCTGTCCATGGTGGGAGCCATCAGGCACGTGTGGCTGTTGGGCACCTGAAATGTGGCAAGTCCGAATTTAGATGGGCGGGAGATGTAAAATAGGCATTAGATTTTGAAGGCTAAGTACAAGGGAAGAATGTAAAATAGCTCATTAATAATCTTTAAAATATTGATGACATGTTTCCACGATAGTATTTTTGACACACTGGGGTAAATAAAATATGTTAAAATTAACCTCACATTTCTTTTTACTTTTTTAAAATGGAGCTACCAGAACATTTAAATTTAAATTTATATTCTATGTATATATATAATGTGTGTGTGTGTGTGTATATACTATATATATAGAACATAGTATATATATAATATAGTATATTTCTGTTCGTCAGAGCCTAAAGGACAGATGGGGGACCAGGGAAGAGGGGTAGACAGCCGCGAGAACACAAAATGGGCAAAGGAGAGCATTCCATGGACAGTGCTAGGAGGACTAAGGATGTGAACTTCGGAGTCTGTGATCAGAGTTCAAGACCCATTTCTGCTTCCTACTTGCTGTGCCATCCATCTGAACCTCTCTGAACTTTTAGTTTCTCCAACTTGAAATGGGGATGGAGAACAGCATCTGCCTCCCAGAGCTGTTTGTGTAAAACACTTGGTGTACAGTTGGCACTCGCTGAAGGATAGGCCACCTCATCCTGTCCAGCTCTGACACTGGGATCTGATTCGAGGGGCAGTGATGGCCATCGATGGGTGTCAGTGTGGAGAGTGATGTGTTTCAGAAAGATCCTTTGGGGTGGGGGCAGGGAGACCAGCACAGAGCTGCCCCGAATTTCAGATGAGAAGTGAGTGTCTGTGCATGTGTAAAGAAGTGGCTGCGTCATCTGGGGCCCGTGGAGAAAGGAGAGCCGCAGGACACAGTAACAGAAGGGATGTGGCGGGAGGGGGCAGTATGGAGGGCATCACTGAGGTTTCCGGCCAGGTGTCCTGATGGAGGGTGGGATTCCGCACATCCAGAGAAATCCAGGAAAAGCAGAGGGGCTCTGCCTGGCTGGGAACCCGCAGGCCTTGCTTACCTCCGCATTCGCAGCCCACAGGGCTCAGTGAGTAATGGCTGAATGGCTGGAGGGCTCCTGCCTTTGAGACCGCAGTCCAGGGCTTGTAACTGGTTCTCATTCTAGCAGCTGTGTGATCTCAGGCACACTATTTCACCTCTCTGGGCTTCAGTCTCCCCATCTGTAAAATGGGAATAGTAAACATAGCCCCCTCCCGGGTTGTTCCGGGGACTCAGCGACATGATCCGTGTAAAGTACATAGGGCAGTGAGTGCCCAGTTAACTGCTGGTCTCCGGCTTCCCACTTAGTCCCTCCCGGTACAGACACACAAGGACTGCCTTCTCTCCTGCTTTCCCAAGGCTCTCACTTCCTTGTAGGAAGAGAAGCCCAGGTGGAAGCAAGTTCCTTGATTATTCTCTCCTCCCTTTGAGGCCAGGCAGGAGGATGGAGGTTAGACCACAGAGAGAACTTTCTTTTAGGGCCAAGAGTATCCAAGTGGGGGGGCACCTGGGTGGCTCAGTGGGTTAAGCCGCTGCCTTCGGCTCAGGTCATGATCTCAGGGTCCTGGGATCGAGTCCTGCATCGGGCTCTCTGCTTGGCGGGGGGCCTGCTTCCCTCCCTCTCTCTGCCTGCCTCTCTGTCTACTTGTGATCTCTCTCTGTCAAATAAATAAATAAAAATAAAAATCTAAAAAAAAAAAAAAAAAGAGTATCCAAGTGGGGTTGTTTTGTTTGTTTGTTTGTTTGTTTGTTTGTTTTCAAGTAGGCTCCACGACCAGCGTGGAGTCCAACACGGGGCTTGAACTCACAACCCTGAGATCAAGATCTGAGCTGAGATCAAGCGTCAGACACTTTACCGACTGAGCCACCCAGGTTTTAGAAAATTAACTTCTCAGAGTCCCTTCCCTGTCCTACACAGATTAGTGGACTGAGAGCTCTTGGGCAGGGGCCTGTGGGGGTGTATCTCTTTATTCCTGTCTCTTTGAGCATCCCACGGTGACTCGGCAGCCAGGGGGCCAGGGCCAGAGGCCTAATGGGGCCATAACCTTCCTGCACCCAGGATGTGGAATCCCAAAGTCCCCAGGCCTTCACTGATCTGGGGTGGTGGCACGTGAGGGTCATAAGCAGGTAGGGGGAGCTGAGGACTCCTTGCGTTTGTGCAAACCTAGCTGGGCCCTGCGGCAGTGACCCAGAGCTCCTGCCTCTGCATTTGTGGCTCTCTCTTGGATTGCACTTGCCCAGACTCCAGGACTCTGCAGAGGCTGTTTGAGTTAACAGCGCACCAGCCTGACTCAGAAAAGGGAACCCAGGTGCAGGAGCCAGACTACTCCGGGTTGTTTCCACCACCCCGTTAGCTGAGTGGACTTGGGTGAGTCGCGATAAACTCCGTGTGCCTCAGTCTCTTCCTCTGTAAAGCAGGGACAATAGAACTGCCCTCTGAGAGGCGCTGGGATGGTTCGATGTGGCTGCGTGCCCAGCATGTGGCCCGGTGCCCAGGACACAGTCAGCGCTTCCTCAGTGCTCCCGCTCCACAGCTGGCCAGCGTCCGCGTCCTGCGGTCCCCGGCTCAGTGTCGTCTCTCTCCCCCTTGCCCTTGCTTCCATTCTGCAGTCCCCATCCCCTCCAAAGCCAGCAGCCTCTCGGCCCTCTCACTGGCCAAAGACAGCCTGGTTGGTGGCATCACGAACCCCAGTGAGGTCTTCTGCTCCGTGCCAGGCCGGCTCTCGCTGCTCAGCTCAACGTCCAAGTACAAGGTGACCGTGGGGGAGGTCCAGCGGCGACTCTCATCTCCCGAGTGCCTCAATGCTTCCCTGCTAGGCGGTGTCCTTCGCAGGTAGGACGGCCAGCCCACACAGTTCCCTGCCCAAATCCATGGTCATTTCAGACCATCTCTGGGGCGCAGAGAGGGGCCCGCCTCACGCCAGGCCACGCCTCCTCTCCATCTCTGTCTCCTTAGGGAACTGTGCATGTTCTGGAGGCAGGCCCCGGTCTCCAGCAGCTCCCACAGGTGTGTGGGCTCGGGGGTGGGGGTGGACAAAGAAGGCCGATCACAGAGAAAGGACGGAGGACTGACCTGTGTTGGGCAGGACGGACCAGGCTGAGGCTGGTGAAGAGAGGGGGCCATCTTCATCCTTTGCCCCAAGAACGGGACCCCAGGACCCAAGGCCCACTCCCTGCAGAACACAGGCCTCTCTGGTGTGTGTGTGTTTTGAGGTCTGTGGTTTGTCTTCATAGCTGGGTGTGCGTCTCTCTCTGTGCACGTCCTAATGCCCTGGTGGGGCTAGAAGTGTTGATGTGTGTGAGGAGGGAATGTGCATGTGGGTGTGTGCGAGTGCATGCATGCACGTGTGTGTGTGTGTGTGTGTGTGTGTGTGTGTGTGTGTGGTATAGGGGACAGTCAGGCGTATATGTCTCCATGAATGTGATTTTCTTGTGTTGCATTGGCTAGAGTGTGTCCTCCTCTGTGTGACTGCATGTACTTCTAGGGATAGACATATGTATGTTTACACGTCTGCAGCTCCGTGTCAAGGCTGCATTTGTGCAGGGGTGAGGGTGTCTCTATTCCCGGTCTCTTTGAACACCCCAGAGGGGCTTGTGTGAGTCCGTGAGTGTCTGTACATCTGTCCCTGGGATCCTGGTTCGGTGTGACCTGTGCTTCTGCACCTGTGTGTCCCTCAGGGCCTGAGTCTGCGTGTCTCTGTGCGTCTGACGATTGTGGTGTGTGTGTGTGTCCTTATCGCTCTCAGTGTGTGTTCGTCTGTGTGCCTGTTTATCTGTGTGTCCCTGGGTGACTGTGTGTGTCCCTGTGTATCTCTGCATGTCATTCTGTGTGTCCCTGGATAGCTGTGTATGGCTCGGCTGGAGTGCTAAGGCACCTCAAGATTCTGGCCTATCTTTCCCTACCCAGGCTGTCCTCGCTGCTGTTGAGAGGATTAGAGGGAATTGAGCGGCTCTGGGAGCTGGGTGCTAGGCCCCCCAACCCCACCTTGGCTACGAAGTCAGTGAGGTTAGAAAGAGATTGGGACGAGGCTGAAAGAGGCCCCAGAGCATTCCCAGGGCCAGACCCCAGCTTCAGCAGGGGCAGGTGGGGCAGCAAGGGCCTGTTGGGGCCACTTAGCCATAGGCTTCTTTCTTGTCTTCATAGTGTGTGTCTGTCTCTCTCTGTGCACGTCAAGGGCCAAGTCCAAGAATGGGGGCCGCTGTCTGCGGGAACGGCTGGAGAAGATTGGGCTCAACCTGCCAGCTGGCCGTCGCAAGGCCGCCAATGTGACACTTCTGACGTCGCTCGTGGAGGGTGAGTGAGGCCTGAGGGTGAGTGTGAGTGTGAGTATGCGGGAACCTGTGTCACCCAGTGGGGCTGTGTGACTGTCCCTAACACTGTCATGTATAAGGAAGGGGTGTGTGTGATACATGTGTATAGTCTTTATGTGTCTGGGCACGTGCACACGTTTGTGTGTGTGGGTTTGTGGAGGGTTGGAGAGGAGTGGCCAGTGTTTGGGTGGGGTGAAGGGATGAGGGGGTGAGAGTCTCTTCCCTGGAGGCTGGGGACTCTGGGCTCGCTCACATTGAGCCCAGGCTCTGGGATACACAGTGGGCTCAGCGGCCACCCATGAGCTTAGAGCTCATCCCCTATGGTCCCAATGGAGGGCAGCGGGCTTGGGGCTGAGGCTGCGCTGGGAGGGAAACCAGAGGAAGTATCTATAGGAGGGGGTGGGGTAGAATGACTCCCAGCCAGGGGGAGGGAGGTTCAAGGCCAGGCTCCAGACTCAAAGGTATTCAGGGCTCTGCCTCTCCTCCCCGCCAGGAGAGGCCGTGCACCTGGCCCGAGACTTTGGCTACGTCTGCGAGACTGAGTTCCCAGCCAAGGCAGCCGCTGAGTACCTGTGCCGCCAGCATGCAGACCCCGGGGAGCTTCACAGCCGCAAGAGCATGCTGCTGGCCGCCAAGTGAGTGAGGGTGCCCCGCGGGGGTGCTCTGGGGCACTGTGCACCAGGCACACGGAGGGGCAGCGCAGACGCACACACCGGGCAGGGGCACTGTGGACGCCACTCACGAGCACACGTGATGTACGATTGGCACCACATGTGGGCACAGAGAGGCATCTCGTGGGGCCCGCCACGGGGCACACGAGGACATGCAAACATACCTGGGTTCTGTGCATCAGCAAAACCAGAGTCACTGCCCCATGGCGTCACCACCCCCATTCCCACCACGGTGGTCTTGCTCCCCCCGCCCCCTTGCCTGAGCCTTGCCCATCAGCCCTTCTGCTCCGGCGACTTCCATCAGGGCACCAGTGCTCACCCAGCCACAAGTTGGCCCTCCCTTGTCCTTACTTCACAAGTGACCCCCTTCGAGTCCTGTTGGGGGCTCCCCCACTGCCACTCCCACGCTGCCGCCTCAGCTCTGGCCTGCTGATCTCACTCCTGGACTTCATCCCAGTGCTCCCCTGTTCCCCCAGCGTTCCTGCACGTGTCCTTCTCCCCTGCCCAAGAATCTTCAGTGACTCCCCGCCTGCCCCATTGATTTTCAAACTAGGTTCGCTGGGGATGCTTTAGGGCCTGTTTAATGAACTGGTATTCCATTCAGATTTAGTTTTTAGAAGGGTCCCATTGCAAGAAAAGACAGAGAGAGGGAAGAAGAGGAAGTCTAGACTCCTTGGAGGGCCCCACAATCTGGCGGGCACAAACCCCAACCACTGAGACTGACCTTCTCGCTGTCCCCTGCCCTCATGTCTGCTGCTTAGAATACCATCTGGTCCCCCATCTAAGGCAGTCCTAATACAGTCAGATCCCACCTCCGCCCTCGTCCTCTGGGACTTTCTCAGGCTCCTGAGGCAGAAGTGGAATCACAAACTCAAGGGACGGCCCTGTCTCATGGGACCTTTGAGGCTGTTCTTATCATTGCTGGAGAAACATATCCAGGGCAGGGCTCCCCTCACCCATGAGTCCTCTAACTCATCAAGACGTCCTGCGGCTCAGTCATGTGTAAAATGCTGACTGGGTTCCATGGCGATGCAAAGGTGAGACAGGGGTACATCCTCCTGCCTGAGCCCCATGCAGGATGCAAAGAAACGGCTAATGGCCACAAACTGGAACAAGAGTCGGATCCCAGCTTCGTCACCTGGACAGGCCAGCCAACCTATCTGAAACCAACTTTCGTATGTGATAAGGATGATGATGACTGTGTAGGTTTGTTGTGAGGACTCAGATGAGGTGGCCAGTGGTTGGCACAGCCTCTAGGCCTCACTTCACGGTCACTGCCAGCATTGGTTCAGCTGGTCATTGTTCCCTAATTACTTCAGAGACAAAGCTCTGTGAAGAATTGGGTATTTGGGATGGGAGTGGCTGAGGGGATCAAGGCAAGTTTCCTGGATAAGGTAGTAGAGCTGGACTTTGAACGTGGTCAGGACATCCACGGGAAGAGACTATAGGGTATTGGCAAAGCCCGTTCACTAGCTGTGTGATATTGGGCAAGTCAGTCAGTGTCTCTGAATCAGCTTCCTTTTCTGTAGAATGGGTATGATCATCATTTGCAGACTTTTGACAGGGTGAGCAATCATAAATACATAAACATTGTCACACACACAATAGGTTCTTCTCTAGGCTCAGAATTTTGTCCTCTAACCCCCACCCTCCTTCTCCCACCAGGCAGATCTGCAAGGAGTTTGCAGACTTGATGGCTCAGGACCGCTCCCCGTTGGGCAACAGCCGCCCAGCACTCATCCTGGAGCCTGGAGTACAGAGCTGCCTGACACACTTTAGCCTCCTCACCCATGGCTTTGGTGGGCCCGCCATCTGTGCTGCCCTTACTGCCTTCCAGAACTACTTGCTGGAGTCACTCAAGGGCCTGGACAAGATGTTTCTAAGCGGTACGGGCAGTGGGCACGGTGACGCCAAGGCTTCAGAGAAGGATGCCAAGCACCGGAAGTAACTGTCTCCGCTACCTCATCCCAAAGAGGTTGCCAAGGCCTGAAATGAGGCCTTAGATCCTGGGAGTGGGCCCGAAAGGATTAAAAGGCAGAGCTTGTGTCAGGCCAGAAAGAGAACATTCATCTCAAGACCCCTGAGTGAGAGGTTGGAGAAGCGGACGTGGCTTCTCTTTGGCCGTTTGTCGAGAAGGGCCCAGAGCTCTGCCACGTGTGTGCAGTTTTCTGACCCTTAATTGCTGGTAAGTGCTTGGATAGGAATGGCATGGAGAAGCCTGGTCTTGAGGCTGAGCCCCGTGCATCAGGGTGCCTGGGCAGCAGTGGATTCTCCTAGAGGCCACGGCCTTGATGTTTTTACTTATGGCTGGGGGGAAATTGTTAACAAACCAGATGTGTTGAGGAGCTGGCATCCCTCACCCCAGCATCTCCAACCCCCAGAAAGGGGGTGCTGGTGAGAGGCCCCCGTGGGTCCTGGAACCATCCCACTTGGGGAGAAGTGGGCAGGGGAAGCCCTCAAGGAGCAAAGATAAAGCACACATTGTAGAACTTGAATCCAGGCTGCATGTCACAGTCCTCTTGCTGTCTGTCCTATTTATTTATGTATGTTGTAATTAAATTTGAAAGTCTAAAAATGTCAAATGCAACTTATTTATCCTGAGTTGAGGATTCTTGTTTCATTGTTTTCTGCTTTATGCACCAAGATGTCCAGCTGGACCAAGATGGAGAGGGTGTGTTTGCTCACAAAGGGCTGAGGGAGGGCCGGGGTGCTTGGGGAAGAAAGATTATGTCAGAGATCATGAGGTTTTCACGAAGATTTTGTATTTGCTGTTGTTTCTCTTGACCTTATAATCGATGTACCTCTTTGGCTCTCCGACTGCTTTTTCATTCTCTTAATAAAATTTTTTCACTGGGTATAAAACCTCCCTGTCCTTCTTCAGCCCAGGCCTAGATTGGCCTCTCAAGTGGGGAGGGGCCTCTGAGGGAGAAATCATAGGCGGGGGCTGTGGGTACCAGGGTGTGTTGGGGGGCTGCAGATAGTGTATCTGTCTGCTTCATCAGTGTGGCTGTCATTTCTGTGTGTGTGTGTGTGTGTGTGTGTGTGTGTGTGTGTGTGTGTGTGTGT